TTTTCCCTCCACTAATTCTCCCTATATAAACCCTTCCTAGATCCAGACCCACAGTCAGTTAGTTAATTAGTCAGTTTGGAAATCGTCAGCTTCAACACCGTCACGCCAAACGCTACCAGCCTCAGCTTCAACACTGTCGCCTTCCCGTCTGCCGTTGTTATTCTGTTGCACAGGCTGTGCGGTGCTCCGGCTTACCGTTTACGCGCCATTTTCGACATTTGCTCTAGAGTGAGGTGTGTATTAGAAGAATAAACCGCTGGTATTTCTTCTCTGTCTACCGTTGCTGCAGTCAAGGACCATGTAACGGGCCTAACATGTGTGCACTCATGTTGGCAGCGTTTTCGGACTTTTGCATTATGCAGTGAGAAAGGAGTATTGGTGGGACCGCAGTGCTGCATCGCGGGGTATTTCGAAACTTAAACCCCAGCGCATATGATTACCGTGAATTTTATGTGTGCTTGTCGACAAAATGCGCCCGCAAGTTAGCCGTATCCATTCGTATCCTCATGAGCATTCGTGAAAGCTGATTTTACGTTTTTAGTGGCGTGCAAGATCTCCTGAAGGTGCTATTGAGGGACTAATTTTTTAGCATGACTGTGAGAAATGCATTTTCATTCAGCATTTGGTAGTGATTTGACAAATTAGGAAAAATTTAATCTTCTGGAGAGTGAAGCTTTTTAGGCTTCAAGCATTTATGCTGAGCACTGAATGCATTGCAGAGATGGTGTGCCCAAAGATGGAGACTTGTTCGGAGCAGTGCTTCCGCGAGGACGTACTACATGTCAACTCGTGCGCCAAAAAACGCTGCAACATACACTGCTTCGACGGCGACTGCCCGCATTGTATTAGCGTCACCAAACGCATCTTTCTGCGAATATGCCGTGAATATGATGTAACAAATCTTCCGAACGTGAAATTTGATGGGAGTTGCAAAGATCTATTCGATTATGTCCTCAAGGAGTACGTTCGTAGTCAAACAACGTGAATAAACTTTGTATGGAGCCGGATGCCCGAGAAAGTCATGAGGACAAGATAACACTGTAAAAGAAATTTGAGAATGACTGCAAGGATTTGTTTTGACCTTTTCAGATTATGCATTTCTTAATACCGAACCGCAAATTCTCCCTCTCCCCCCAGCCTTTTTTTTTGCAAGCATCATCTCTCATACCTTAACGGGTCCCACTTTTCTTTGCGAAAGATCTGCATTAGGAGGCAGTTCACGAAACTCAAATGCTGTGCAAATCCACTTGAGTATTGACCCTCAAAACTGACTTTTTTGGTTTTTCCCAGCTCTGCATCCAATTGTTTTATCTGTCGTCGAATGTATGCATCTCACTGTATTATTTACCAAATGCTTTGGCTAATGTTTTTTTTCAACGGCTGAATTTTTGTCAAAATCTCGTTTCCGAAAACAACCTCTATGCTCACAACAGCTGCGCTGAAAATATGTCGAAATAAAAGCATCTGTTTATTTGTATTTTAACATTCTTTTCCTATCGTTTTTTGCAAAATTCGAGTTCTGACCTTCGCTTTCCGCTTATTTCCTGCACTTTGTTCCTCCCAACGTTGATCAAATGCGCGTTTTCTGCTTGCTAATCTGGCGCTTCCGAGTCTACGCCAAGTTTTGCAACAAAAAAAGAGGGTTTTTGGTAAAAAAATTAGCTTTCTTCAAATGAGTTCCTCTCCACCATCATTACGCATAAATTCCACGATTTTTAGATTCTGAATAATTATACAGCACTAAGATCAAATCAAAAACAAAAAGGTTCAACATCTTCATGTGCTACTGATGCTCCATTTATTTTTATCACGCTCTACTGTTTAGCAAACATCTGTCTCTTATTTTGGCCTCTCCTCTTCCAAGCCCGGATTTGAAGGATGTTGGCATTCCCTGCCTCCTCTCTCCTCCCCCTCTCTATGTTCCCTCATTTTCAAAAAACACAATGGTGCTTGTTGAAAAACTGCTGTTTTCAGCGCTTTCACCAATCATATTTTGTGTTAAGTAGGTTATTAACAATTTCTGTTTATTGTACTCAGTGCGGTCTCAGTATAATCCCGAACTGTCACTCAAGAAAAGATGTTCCTCAATGAAGCGTACAGCCGGGATCAGTAAGCCTGGCATAGCTGAGTCAGGCGTTGGCAGCCCCTGAGTATTATTGCTAATACAAGTTCTCTGCACAGGCTAACCGTATGGCCATCTTATTCTTGGTATTCCTCAATCTATTCTTGACATTTATGAAATCAATAAAAACGCTTAGTACCAGAATTTCCGAAAAAAAAGTCGTACTGATTGTTAACTCAGTATTCTTCAAGACAAAAATCTTCTGAACAGTAGCAAAACTCACTCGCGTTACCTCACCACGCCTTCGTTCATGATAACTTAATGTTTTGAAAAATCTGATTTGTTGTTAACAGCTTCTTGGTCGAATTTTTCTCAAAAAGCAGTTACTATTTCGATGCTAAAGTTTTTTAACCTTTACTAGACTTCGTGAGCGACGCTTTTTTGGGAAAAGCTTTAGCCACATCAATTCGTAGGTCAGTTCGTAAACGCAGTGTTTTTTTTAAACATTTTGAGAAAGCAGTGTTGTTTCAGTGAAAGCCGTAATGCCACTTTATGCGCACAGTGGTGAGTATTATTTAGTGTTTCTGAAAGCTGTCCCTTCTCTTTTTATCTTTATGCATTGGCACAATGTAAGTGTACCATTCGAATTCAAGAACTTATCACTGAAACTGCCCGTTTATCAATATAAGTAAAGACACATAAAATTAACAAGAAATATCTGACATGATCATGCATTTTTGTGATAAGTTGTTCTCGCACTGTAAGGAAAAGTCAATGCTTAAGCGAAATGGACTGGACTTTCCCTTGACATATTTAGTGCCTGTCAAAATAAATTCGTTCAGAGCGTGAAAGACCAAAATTTTACTCATTCTGGGATTATGATCGTGACCCGGCTACGCCATCATAGCTTAGAACAAAACGAAGATAATGCAGTTGATTTTCATAGCGCTTGCAATCTCATAGTGCGATTTTTTACCCATAATCCACAATCTCAAATTTTTAAGTCGCAGAATATCAGTCTTAATTTAGGGCTGGCATCCTAAATTGGAACGGAAGTGAATTTTAAGTTGTCGCTTGGTACAAGGATGAGAGCCGTCTTTTTCAAAACTTCAGTTTTCTAGCTTTTATAGTTTTGACTTATTTCAACCAGAGAGAAGTGTTTTTGAGTTGTACAGAAATGCATAAGATGCATACTTTTTATGCGTTTTTGCATGTACGTAAATTGCAAAAACGCATATTGGGAAGAGGCTGTTTGTGTCTGTCTGTCTGTCTGTCTGT